CTTCCCTCCATCATCTCCACAGATGAAGTTAGCCGTGACTACGCCTACGGAGAAACCGACCCGCTGCTGCGGCGCTGCCGACTGTTACCATGGAGACCGGATGACCTGGAGGGAGTGAGCAGCACCGTCTCTGAGCCCCCAGACTCCTACTATGAGGTGAGGAGAACCAGGAGAACAGGAGCGGTTCCTGCCAGGTCCGAAGGTCCAGATCAGGTCAGAAGAACTAGAGCGTTTGACACATTCACGCCTAAAACTGGGCGTGAACTGCAGCAAATGATCAGGGAACCAGACGTCAGTGACGCCTCACACATTTCCAGTCGTGATAACTAATGCGGTGCACTAGTGCAACACATTAACCTCCTTATTCTAAGGTGGGCAGATTTCTGTAATCGAAGCCTCTGGACTTGAAGCGTGTTCCGGTCAGACGTTGGGATCAAGATTTCTTAATAAAATGAAACTTGGATGTAAAAGGAGAACTTTTGACGGCTGTAGTGGTTGAGCAGTCGGTTGGTTCAGCCCAGACATCACGCTGCAGGGATCCCTGTTGCTTTCTTTAGTTTGGACGACGTTTTTCCTTCCACTGAACTTTCTTAGAGGCGTTTGGATGCAGCGCTCTGCTCTGCTGCAGCCGTCAGCTGACCTCCAAGCCAATCACGTGGCAGGCAGGAGAGGTTTACCTCCAGGTTAGGCTGCTCATCCACGGCGTCGTACCTTCAGTCTGACTCTGGCTCCGCCTACCAGAACATTTCTAGATTTGCAGTAGAAGCTCTGACTGGGTAATCTAACAGGTTTTCAGACTAATCTAAATAAAGTTTTCTTCTCTGATCGACAATGAGATCTACTTTGGTTCATTTTAGCTTAAATCCTTCAGCAGACCTCAGACCAAGACGTCTCTGGGTTTGTTTTTCCAGGCTATCGCACGAGAGAACAAGGAGCAGCTTCCTGTGGAGATCCAACCTTCCTCTGTTCCCAAAGATAAAATCCTCAAGTGAGTCTGAGCTCAGGAAGCTGCAAAGGTAGAACCCGCTCAAAATGGCCGTCTGGAGTCCTGATGCTTTAAGCTGTGATTTCAGAGTCTTCACTGAAATGTCCCAAGTCAGGAACAACCTGACTCATCCTCGTTTCCTTCTGACGGAGGAAGAGGAGGAGGCCGATGTCATCTGGAGCTACGATCACATCAAGGAC